TATTTTTATTTATAATATTAAGTAAAATTATAATCATAATATTTTGAAACAAAAAAAAAAAAAAAAGGAAAAAAGAAAAACAGTCCTATAATTTAATTCTCCATTGAAAAACTAAAATTTCTGGGGGAGGAGATTACTGGGTAAGATAGAAAGTGCATATGACACATCAATCATCAATCTTCACTTAACCCTGAAAGAGACAAGTTCCCTAACTTTCCATTGCTTTTCTTCCAATCCAAACACAAGTTTACAATCCTTCCTTTCATCTCTTGAATTTTCTCAGTTTCTTTGATGGAAAAATGAAGCACAGAAAGCTTTTTCCATCTTTAGCAGAAACAAATAATACAGATTGTTCTGGGTTATGTGATCCAGCATGCCCTTATAACTGCTACAATGACTACTACTATCTATCTCCGCCGCCGCCGCCACGTCCACTCTCGGTGGAAGACAGTCCAACACAAAACCACCATACGTCTCCTTATGTCATCGTGACAGTTTCTTTCTTTGCCGGACTCTTCCTTCTTGTTGGTTACTATGTGATTGCATCAAAGTCTTGTGTCGGTTGGTGCAGGTCGAGGAACAACCGGCAGCCGCGAGTGGATGGTTCCGATGAGGAGTTTATTGATGAGAACCAGGTGGATCATCCGATTTGGTTCATCACCACCGTCGGGCTGCAACAATCGGTGATAAATTCGATTACGGTGTGCAAGTATAAGAAGGGTGAAGGATTGATCGAAGGAACGGAATGCTCTGTTTGCTTGACTGAATTTCAGGAGGATGAACTGCTAAGGTTATTGCCTAAATGCAACCATGCTTTTCATATTTCCTGTATTGATACTTGGTTAAGGTCCCACACTAACTGTCCCCTGTGTCGAGCTGGAATCGTCTTCGACGGCATCCGTAATGCTCCGATGGCCACAAGAGACCGGAATTCCGATCCCATGGATGGAATTTCTGTTACCAGGAATGAGAATTCTGAGATTGGTGGGGAACTGAATGTGGGTATGGAGAATCAGGAGAGAAATTCTGATGTTTATGAAAACAGGGGAAGAACAGGGGATAGGCGCGGAGGTAACGTTTCAAAGGAGAAAAAGGTAATTAGGAGGTCTGTTTCCATGGATTCTTCTGCAGCTGGAAATTTAAGTCTAGCATTGGAGAATTTACAACGTTTTGAATCAGGAGTGAGTTCTGAGGAATGGAAATCAAATCCAGGCAGGAAAGCGTTGGGTAATTCTTCTTCATTTTCGCAGTTTCTGCACTTAAGTCCTGTTCCTATGAAGAGATCATTCTCATGCAATGGGAGGTTTCTCTCATCCAAACGTGGACGTAGCCTGAACTGAATGCAAATCTTTGTTTGTGAGGTTGAGTATTACAGGCGATGTAGTTTTTTTTTTTTTCTTTTTTTTTTCTTTTTCTTTTTCCTTTTTTGATTTCTCTTAGGAGAAAGATTTCAAAGGTACTGTAAAATCTGTTTCTTTCTTTCATGATTTTATTATGGGGTGAAAAAAAATTAAAGCGTATGCTTCTGCAAAGGGGAAAAAATGATTTAAGCTTTGATTTACATTTATTTTGCTAAGAACGTTCATTGACTCTGCAAGTTTTGATCATTTAGATATAATGTTGGCTCTTTTGGATCATTCCTACATAAAATAAAGGAAAAAAAATGGAAACAATTAAGTTATCAGGACATTTAAAAATTAAGGTGTTTAAATGTATAATTATAATTATTAAATATATAAGATATAATGTAAATATTAATTTTATCACATTTATTTTGTGATCATTATCAGACTCTCTTGATTGATTTTTACTTTTCTTACGAAGGAAACTAAATTTGTCACTTCCTCATGTCTCATAGAACAAAAAGATTGAAAAATTTTCCACGGGGACCTCTTTTTTGCACAGCAAACTGATTATTAATATTGTTAAAGGGATTAAACATAATCATCATGGTCAAGAAGCAGAATCAACAGTACAGGAACCAAACAAAATTAAAACCACACAGAACAACTTCATAAAGATAGAATGATGAGAAAAACAACTTAACCAGTTAACGAATACCTGCCTTCAATTTCATTGGAACCTAGCTTGTTTGCACAGAAACGTGTCATGGAAGGCAAATTAGGCAGCATATTGTATGCGAAAACTCGCCTAATTCAACTATTCAAGAGAAGTGAGTTGGGTTTTCTTCTCTTTTCAGCTTTCCATCCATTCAATCGATATTATCTTTACTCTAAAGATGAATATCTTACCTTATTAAGATATAGGTTGCCTACCAAAATGATTTGTGCCTTCTAACAAAGTTTAATGGTTGCGTCTAGTCATAATATTACTATATTATTACTATATGTAAATTGCTGAATGTGTATCCAATATATAATGTATGTCACCCTACATACATATATATATATATACAAAACAACCATATTAGAATCATATTAAAATCATAACTTAGTTAAGCTTGTGTCTAGAATCTAGGAGAGTTACAACTGTATATCAATATGCTCTTGATTATGAGGGATTTCTAGCAGATACTGTTTATACTATATTAGCTATTACACTAAAGGTATCAATATGTGTTAGGCTAAATTAGTATTTACTAATTTAAAATTTTTGATTTATGGTTAAGATTAAGGGTTAAAATCTCTATGATACCAGCTAATTTATGATTTATAAAAAAAAAAAATAAAGAATCCCTTACGCAAGTAGTTATATAATATTCAACCATGAAGAAATTCAAAGACGGACCTTGTTGCAGGCCCCAGTTGCCGATTGATAAGTTTTAAAGGCCTGTTCAGAAATGATGGGCTCACAGGGCTTATCTACTTCTACTTCATATCATCTGCAAGGTATGCACAAAGAATTCTACCAAAAACTCGAGCAGTTCAACAGAACTTCAATTGAATTAGTGAAGTGTAACACAAACGACAGAAAGTCGCAAACTTCTGTAAGTATATTCGACCGGAAAAAGGAGAATATTTTTGATATATGTGTTCTGACTTCTATGGCACTATTTTAAGTTTTTAACTCAAGTTTTTGCCTTCATTCATTTGGCTGGGAGTGAAATAATCGACAAATTAAGAAGATTTGACCTTGCATTTTACGAAAAAATGAAGTTAATTACCAAAAAGTAATGAAAGAAAAATATGACCTTGCTAATGATGTTAGTGGTTTAGTAATAATTTTTTTTCAAGTCTCTATTATAAGCGGCTCATTATTTAAGAATTTTTATAATTAAAAAATGACCTTTTTACTTTTAAATTTAAATTATAAGATATAATTTATTAGGTGAAGAATAATTCTTAATATCAGGAATAGTTAGTAGACAGTGTCCATGTTGGCTAAAGTATGTAATTAATAAGACCGTGGCCCCTAATCGTTGCGAATTATTATTCTAGACATGAGGTTATGTCATGCATCCAACATATGTATTAAAGAATTGCCTTCAGCTTGATTATTTGATTAATTAAAAACCTTGACTCACTTTCTAAAGAAATTAAATCAATGAGCAACGAATATTTTGCTTAGGTAGTTATATATATATGTGAGAAAACAAGGTAGGAGAGAAAAATATGAAGAAAAATGATACTTTTTCTTGATTCATTTGAATATACAAAGTGCCTATTTGTAGGCCTGCACAAAAGAATATTTTGTAGTATAAAATTAATTAATCTAATTATGTAAATCAATTATAACGTGAATATAATCAAGAGAGAATATTCTGTAATATCCTTCATCAAACTCAAGGTGGTGATGAGGAGATCAGCTTGAGTTTGGAAAGAAGAGTGTGGAAGCGTCCAAGAAAATGAGCCTTAGTGAAAAGATCCGTAGGCTGATCAATAGAGCCAATAAAGACTAGATCGATAGTTCCTTTGGCAACATGATATCGAATAAAATGACAATCGACCTCAATATGTTTTGTGCGTTCATGGAAAACGTCATTGTGAGCAATCTGCATAGCACTTTGATTGTCACAGTAAAGATCAGTAGAAGATGTAAAGATCAGTAGAAGATGGTTGGGAAACACCCATATCCTCCAAGAGCCAT